AGTAATTTTCAGCACTTTAACCTACTCTATTTTGTTATAATTGGCACGACCCAGAACGCGAGAAAGTTTCCCTAATTTGAGGAAGCCTCGTTGACGTCACGTTACAATTTTGGCACAAATCAGTTAAATCATGTGACAACGGCTTGCCCATGCTGTTATTTCAACAAATGGAATGTTCTATGTGGTCTTTTGGAAATAAATTATTGATTTTCTTCAAGCTCTTAGTAGTGGATTTATTAAACATAAACTTTGTCACAATACATACATAATTAAATTCAGCACAGCACGTATCTGCTGTTATGTGATATTTTATCGTTATCAGCGTGGAGTAAGTCATTAGTTGGCAGAACATACATACATTGCAGGCAATTGCGCTAAAAAGTGAATTACTTTGTTTGCGACGGACCTGTACGTTTTCTTAAAGCGTTCTTCGGTCGCGCGTTAAATTAAGCTTGTACAAAGTTGTGGTTTCCATGGAAAGGCAAAGCGTCCTTTAAATTAACTGTCATGTTCAATAATTTCCATTTTATCCGAAAAAAATCACCTGCCAGATTGGTTTTGGTAATCGGTAAACTGTCACACACAAGTATTCTGTTTATTTTAGCGTACACCCTCAACTTTTAGCAAAGCTTTCGCTCATTATTCAACACGATTTGCATCAGAAAACCGCAAAAAAATGAACTTAAGGCACATAAAGTTAGGAAAGGAGCAAAAAGTTAACGAATAGCGTGTTCATTTCTTTCTCATCATATCCGGCAGGCAAGTATTACGTAAAATCTGTTTTCTGCTAGCCAATCAGATGGCATTTTCAAGATAATTATTATATTGAACTGACATAATTTTAAATTCCATGTCAATAACATTCTGCCCTAAAATTATCAGTAATCATAATCATAAAAAAATTATTGCTTCGACTTGCGTCTAAACTGCAGACAAGTTTTACAGTAAACGCATATGTGGAATGTGCTGGAAATCCTTTAAACTGAAGAAACTTCAAACAGAATGAAGATAACAGTATTTCTTTCAGGCTTCTTGTGAAGGGCAGTTGGTCATTGTGAGGTAAATGTGTGTTAGTCAACGGTGGGAACAATAATTAGGTTTGAACGGCTGGCTTTGAAATTTGAAATTACAAGGTTTAAGATATCTTACAACTAAAGATAGCCATTGTCTCTGAAACAAAAATGCTTGAAGACGATCGGTTAAATGTGTGAAATGTTTGTGATGAGTTCCCGTCCATATTGACCATAAACTCTTACCGCAATTCGCCGTAAAATATCCTTTTCCAAAAACAATCTCAAAAAAAGTGTAGTTGAATTGTAGCTCTGACATCTTGGATCTCTTTGTGAGCATTTGCGACTAACTTGAGCAAAAATATCGGTAATCAGGCTGCTATTTTTAGTAATAGCCTTCTCAAGCGTTACAGCAGTTCATGTAAAAAATTATACTTGAAAAGAAAACAAAAAGCACTACGTTTTATTTAACGATAAATAATTCGACAAGCAATTCACAAATAATGAAATCAGTTGTGAAATATTCCATCTGCGACTCCTTTGAGAAGGAAACACATGTTATGACAGTGTGGTTTCGTTGTTTTTAATCTAGCCCCATCGGTGGAATACTTGGGCGACGTCTGATGGCTTCTCGCTAAGAATAAGGATTTGTCATCAATGAACGTTTCTCCTTTAGTATAGGACCAAGATTGTGACTAAAAAAGCCTTCAATAATTCTCGTTTACTTGCTTTGTGAAAAAACAAAAACAAAACAAGTATTTTTAAGTCCTGCCTTCACCTTTGTTTTTCCTTTCAGCTGAGTTATAAGTGAAGAAGAACATTTTTATTAACGATGAATAATTCGACAACAGGTTTGTGACACGATCTTCACTTTAATATCACATTAAAATGGAACTAGATGTTCACTGTTATCTCAATGATATAAATTTCCGCTTGATTTTTTCTAGAGAACTGCAGACTTAATTTAAGCGAGGGATTATGCACGCGAGGGTGGAAGGAAATACGTACAATTTCTTCTATAAACATCGGTAAAAAAGAACAAAATTACGAGCCACACAGTAAAGCAGAAAAAATCATGAAACACACAACGTATGTGAAACTGATTTGCAATCATTGATTACTCAGACAGATTAAAATTCCTTGGCAAGTCGTCGCGTGAATTCTTTTTTTTTTTTCCATAATGTTTCTTACAAGTCACTTTGGCGTTGATCAAAGAGTATCCTCTTATTACTCAGATATTTTCGTGGCGGATATTTGCTTTGACTGTGTTTGCAGTATTTTCAATTTCTGTTTTCCATTCCATTGTTATACTCAATGCAATTTCCGCCATCTCCACTGATCAATAGATCAGTTATTCAATTTCCATAAGTAGCCCACTTTCACGGACATCTTGTCTGACATCATGCATCCGAACGAACACGAAGATAATGAAATGTATGATCTTAAATTATATTCCACAATTTTTATCTTCATCTAGCGCAAAAAAATTTTAAACAGTCGAAACGACTTTACTAACAGTCAGCAAATGTTTGCTTGCTTAATTGTGGTATCACTTATCCCATTATTTTGGCGAGTTAAATTTAATTGGTTATAGTTCACGACTGGTAAATAAATTGGAGACTTTCCTGTGATACAACAGCCTTGCCGGGTGACTTCCACTAATTGGTAAAATTTTTAATTATTAAAACTTTTTAATGTTGGTCTTTATTCCCGGGGGGGGNTCCTAAGAAGTACCAAGACCCTGTTTTGTGGGCATGACTTGAAATTTTTCCTCTCCTAAGAGATACCAATTTTAAAGCAGCATATTATCTGGCACTGACTTTTTTCGGCTCAGTACCCAAGAAGAAGTACCAAGAAGAAGTACCCAAGAAGTACCAAGACCCTGTTTTGTGGGCATGACTTGAAATTTTTCCTCTCCTAAGAGATACCAATTTTAAAGCAGCATATTATCTGGCACTGACTTTTTTCGGCTCAGTACCCAATAAAAGGTGCCATGATCGAAAGCTCCTGCTGTGGACTTTGCAAGGTTCAACACCCTAAGAGATACCTTATCCGCGTTTTTAACCCCTGACGAGCACCCCCGTCCTTTTATATGGAGCCCCCCCCCCCACCCCTACCACTGTCTTTCTTGTCTTATTCTCTCACCTGCATTTCTCGATCTCCAGAACACTCCTCAGCGGGAATTGACCTAAGTATTGGCATCCACATGCAAGTTGTTTTGACTGTGTTGGCATCAGCCATCATCTTTCTTGATCTGATTGGTAATGCCATCATTATCCACGTGATCCGCAACAGAACGCCCATGCGCACTACAATGGATCTCCTTATTGTCAATCTAGCAGCCGCTGACCTCATAATGATTCCAGTCATAGTCTACTTGGTCAACTTTTTTTTCAACCAGTTTGATTGGTTTGGTGGTGTTATGGGGAAGATCACATGTCGGTTGGCTATCTCTCTTCAGGCGTTATCGGTCGCAAGTTCTGTTTACAGCGTTTTCGCCATTAGCATAGACCGTTTCTGTGCAATCTTTTTCCCCCTGAAGAAGATACTGACCAAACGGTGTATCAAATGGAGTATTGTGCTCATATGGCTTATTGGTATCAGCTTTTCTATTCCTCAGTTTTTGGTGGCAACAGTGAAAGTCGTCGCAAAGAAGCAGATGTGTGTTCCAAGTTGGAAAAATAGTGGAATGTCCTCAAGCGATTATACACTTCTCTTTCTTGTGTTTTGCTACGTCGTTCCCTTGGTAACAATCGCGACGCTTTACCTCATCATTGGGGTGAGGCTATGGAAGAGCACTGCTCCAGGCCAGCACTCGGAACTGGAAAAAGAAAGGATCAGGATCACACGACGCAAACCCACTAAAATGCTAATTACCATTGTCATCGTGTTTGCACTTTGTTGGCTTCCTTTGCAGGCAGCGGAAGTACTGTGGCGTTTTGCCCCGGAAGTGTACTGGAACCTCATTCCATATAAAGTCAATGTTGTTCTCCCATGGTTTGGGATTGCAAACAGTGCGATCAACCCGCTCATATACCCAATTTTCTGCGAAAAATTTCGTTCAGAATTCAGGAGAGTCCTTTGCTTTATTTGTTTTAAGGAAAGAAATCGAAAGAAATCTGGCGTGACCTTGATAACAGGGCTGCCAAAATCGAATCCAGAAAAACGTGAAAGTGTCCATAAAAATAGTAACAGCCCAAGTTCTCCGCCTAGAAAGGTTAAGGCTGTTTTTGTAAGTTCTCTCTGAGCTCGAAACACGATACAAGTTTGTTCATGAATGCTAGGAGCATTCATTCTTATAACACTCAATCCTCCGCCTCTAATAAATTCTATATAAAACACTCTAGATTAGAAATGCAAAAGAATGTACAGTGGAACCCCGCCTTACGACCACCCCGTTAATTCGACCACCTCGTTATTACGGCCACTTTATTCTGGCCCAAAAAAAAGCTCAGTCAGTCATTTTCTTATTTAAAGAACCCCTTTAATACGACCACCCCGTTAATGCGACCAATTTTCCATGGCCCGAAGGTGGTCTATTAACGGGGTTCCACTGTATTTTCAAGAGTTGAGCCAAAAGTATGGAATGAGATACCACATCTTTAAGCTCCCTAGAAAACAGTTTAAAGCTAAATTTCATTCCTTTCTGAATGATAGCCTAACACAGCATGATTGCATGGATATTTCCCAAATCACTGCAGCCTTAAAGAAATACAAATGCTAAGTCTTATAGCTTCTTATGACTTGCTTTTCTTTACTCAACTTGATAAAATGGTTAATGCCTAAATGTTTTTTTTTTTCTCGTCGTATATTCTTTAAGTTATCTGGCGCGGGCAACATACTATTAATATTTTCAATTTTCTTTGTCTCGCTAGTTTTTTGTCATGTATTATTGTGTTTTTCAGTAATCTGATTATAACTGTTCAGCCTAGTAGCCCTATGCTACCAGCGGATCAGTTTTACATTTGTATTAATTTCTAAATTCAATTGAAATAAAGTGTGTGTACACGAGTGTGTGTGGAGTCAGCGCGCTCCATGTCTGGCTCACTTGGGTAAAATATACGTATCTATTTGGAAAAAAAAATGTAAGAAAGCGTGCTTCATAGGCCGTACGAGTTGTTGACGTAATGATCAGTTGATAATCCAGTAAAAGAGTTTTCCTTTCTTTTACTTGTGGTGTTTTCTAAGGAATATACTGTTAAGAGAGTTTTAAATGAAATGAAACCTAAAATCTCGCTAAAATTGAGTTTTCGTTTCCTGAATCAAAGGTAGCAAACTAAACGATTGAGCGAGGAAAGAACATCAAGTGATACAATATTTGATGGCGACAACCCCAAGTTGTGCAATATAACAAGTTTCGGTGTTTTTTTTTTATACTGGGCTGTTGACCTTAAAAAAAACATTAAAGGATCTCAATGGTGATTAGCAGCAGGTTTGCTGTTTGCTGTTACAATTTGCGCCTCTTAAAGGAAATTAACACATTCCACGTTAAGTCAGTGTGACCAGGGGACAGCTGAAAAATCGTTATTAAGACTATGAAGCCGTAAGAAATCAGTCATTGAGTTGAATTTCTGACTGCGCAATTAAGAAATCTCTCATTACAGCAACAGCCTTTCAAATGTAATAATAAAAACAGATGATAATCCCGCTGAGAAATCCAGTTTTAATCATCGTTCCAAGGCAATGTGAAACTCAAATTTTCTCATATAGTGTTTTGTAATTTCTCGTAAAATCTCGTGAGAACTCTCTCTTTTTTAGTAATACCACCTTTTTTTACCCGCACGTTGCATATTTACCGGTATTACCGTGAAACAACAATGAAAACCATGGCTTTGTTTTGCATGGCGTTTTCTTTCTTGGAAGCAATATGTCAGCATTATGTACACTGCTATTGAAATTAAAATAATACTTAATTGTCTCGACCTGTCCTTTGCTTATCATTTTCTTCGGAATTTTCTTTTCGATATCTTTTCGCTTTGACTGCTTTAGTCTTTTTGTTTGTGTCAATTGCAGTCAAATGCAAAGCTCTGGTGGAATTCAATTCCAGCCTTGTGTCCCTGCCACAGCAACCTCTCAATACTTGATAGAATGCATTCCGTAGTTGAGAGTTCATGAGAGCGTAAATAACGAAATTACAGCACGAGTTACCATAAGCCAGTGTGATGACAGTTCTCTGGAGCGCTCCAGGAATCGCGCTGTCACCTCCAAAGGCACGGATCGTTGTTGTCACAAAATAAGGCATCCACATAATAAAAAACACACCCACCACAACAGCTAACGTTTTCACGGCTTTCATTTCTCTTTTTAACACGTTGCTCGCTCCTTGATTTCCAGCACACTCAATCGCAGAAATTCTGCGAGTGTTTCTGCGGACCTCTTTGAAAATGATGACATAGGCAACTATCATTATTGTAACAGGTAAAAAGAAATAAAATACAAGCAAAAGTATGGTTAAAGTTGGGTGTTTCAGCCAGTTTATCTCACACTCTGCCATGACTGGGTTAAAGCGGTGTTCAGCGAGACCCAAGGCGGGAAAAATCGCTAACACAAGCGACTGCAGCCATATGTAAATCAATAAAATGACAATTCGTTTTGGGGTCACCTTCATGTCGTAGGACAGCGGCCATTTTATCGCGATAAGTCTTTCAATGCTGATTGCACAAAGATGAAGGATAGAAGCTCCGCATAAAAGAACGCCGAACATTGAAGAAATGTGGCACCATGTTTCTCCAAACGGCCATTGTCCTGCATAAACTGAAATGTTAATGTAAATTACTCGAAGTATCGGAACTAACAGGTCCGCGCCAGCTAAGCTGCAAACTAAATAGTTAGTCAGGCTTCTTAAATTCCTGAATCTCCAAACTGCAAGGCACACCAGACTATTACCAAGAAGCGTAAAGATGGAGAGGAGAGAGAGGATAACTCCAAAGCAAATGGATTCCACTTCAGGTATTGAAGTCAGCATGTCATTCAACGGAGGAGCACTAGTTTGATTCATGACTTCACGCGCGTTGAAATACGAAAACAACCCTGAAATGTAAAGAGTAGTTCAGTGTATACATTAAGAAACATCCACTCCAAAGATGAATGGCTGACAATCTTACTGTCTGGTTGTTCGTCAGTCACAGAGTATAGTACAATCGTCGCCTCTTATTTAAATCATCATTACTCAATACCTTCAAGAAGTATTTAAGTTGTCGAGTGAAACTTCAGAAAACTCTCGACGATGACAGCGCATTGTATGATCTACACTTTGAATTTTGCGCATTTAATGAACAGCAAACAAGATTGATATTGCGAAATGTGTCAAAAAAAGCAAACATTGGGAAGCATTAACAGAAAGAGACAGTATTGCAATTGTAATCTATTGATTTGATCAAAAGGTAAAAAAAGAAAGGAATAGAAAGCCGCGGAAGTATAAATCAAAATATTAAAATTGCGTTTTAATACATATCCGCCCTTCAGGTGCCGGTCAGTGATAGCGCGAGGTGATTGTTAAGCAATGAAATAAGACGATGCTACGAAAGAAATTTCCCTAAGATATAAACCAACTAATCCCTCAGAAAAGGTACTTCAGTGATATCTCTTGTAGGTCGGGGTTTTTTTAACGGAAAGCAGTTTTGAGTCATACACAGAGAAAAGCGTTTCTAATGGAATATATATTTTTTAAAAGAAAACAAACTGAGTTTCCTATCGTGTCATTTCCGACACAATTCTCAGCTGGTGATCTATTTATACATCCGTGTTTTGCAGGAAAGCAAATAGCTTCGATCAAATAAACGGTTCTCGGGCGACTCTAAATTAAAAGAAAAACACTTTTTTCCTGAAAAAAGCGTGTTAATTTTCACTTGAGCCACAGTGTCAAAACGAAACACCGTTATATTTCTGTCAAAGAAATAAAGAATCAAACGGCACATTTTAACATAATTCATAACCTTCAATAATTCGAATTTTTTGTAAGACGTTACCTTATATGGAAAGTGCGCAAATTCGCCTCAGTGATTGGCCAACGAGGAAGTAATTGGCCGATTGGATGACGTAATTATGTTTCTGTGAAAAGAAACATAGAATACATAAAACGTCCGCTAAACGGCATCTGAGCGATCGAAGCCTATGACTATTTTGCTAAAACTAACAATTGTCCTGGTAGCTGATCAAATATTCAGCAAGATTTTGATTCCTTAACAGCCTTAAGGTGTTCAGACAAAATATTTATCCAGTTTCGATCTACATGCATTTATTGAACAAAAATCAGTCTTTGATAGCATATGTATTGTGTTTGCACCGATTTATTATCAGCTTCCAAAATAAGCTGTAAGTAAGACCGTTGAAGAAAAGGTGATGAGAACATGGCCTTCATGCAGAGCTTAAAAACATGACCACAAGGAGCAAGAGAGCTTTAAATGTAATCACCCTGCTAGTTGATATTGAACTTAGACGTCCTTTACAACTATCTCACTTGTTAAACAGCTACTTAATTGGATTTCTACTTTTCTATTCGTAGTTGTCACGTGGTATTTGTTTCATGCGTACTATAGCATAGCACTGAAATAACTTAATGCCTTTTTGGCAAGGCCAATCACGTGACTGAAGCATAAATGAGACTGCCCCAAATAACAACCAATATCAACAAACACTTAGATGAACATTCTGCTTACTACCGGGACTGCCATGACTTTCTTATAACAAGAAAATATCAGCGTCTGCTAGAGGACTGTACGTCCTTAGAATGCGATACGTTTTTAGAATTCAATCTCGGGGTCTGAACGCTTCATAACGAGTTCATCAGGGCTCTTGCGTGTTTCGCAATTTTTAATTAAAATAAGTCACTAAGAACACTTGGCAATGTATGAGAGGATTAGCAGGTTCATTAAAAGACTGGCACAAATAATGCACAATACATAATGCACCCAGTGGAGATGACTGACGTCAACATTTTGTCATTTGTTGTATTCAAGGCCTCAACGAACCATTGATATTTGCTTTGAAACCTGTTTCTGGCACTTAAGCTGTTATTGATATTGAATTCCAAAAAAACAAAAACAATCTATGCCGTTTCATCTGCGAAAACCAACTAGTATGATGTTCAATATTGTGTTGATGAAGGTTATAGAAACGTTCACGAACGTGCGAAAGAGAAAAAAACAATTTGCTAACGAATTTCTAGCCATAACTTCACAAAAGCAATAAAAACAGAAGAAATTGTTTCTCTGTGTTGTTGCCAGAGATGCAAATCAGTAAAAAATTCCCCATACTCTAATGCTTTCTTCTTTTGAGGGTTATCAAGAAAAAATGATTTCACGAACGTTCGTTTTATTCTGACTGACATTTATATGTTCTTCAATTTTTCTTTAAAATATTAGCTTTAACCACTTACTTCTGGTCCACGAATTATTCATTTAATTTTCGGATTTAGACAGCTTTGTTATTAGCTATTTAGCTTTTAAAACTTGTCTGTTAATTTGAGCTCACAAATGTTAACCTTTCAGACAAATCTAGTCATTTTTACATGCTGCAGATAGTTTAAGGGTGAAATACAAATCGGTAAAAATTCTGCGAGTTGTATTTTTTTTTTTTTTTTA